TATTAGTGTCGAACTTGGCAAGAGCTCATTTCGGGACCTTTCCGGGCAGCCGGGAGTGAAGGGAGTTCACCTTCGCTGAATTTGCGTCCAGTAGCTTCGAGGCGATATTTGACTTTTAATGGAGTATATAGATGGAGTATATAGCTGTTTCTATTCTCACGACTTTATCTTGCGGCTAGTGATGGAGTATATAGCTGTTTCTATTTTCACGACTTTATCTTGCGGCTATTGATACTCGCGTAGTCGCGTCCGTAAGCTTTCATTTCATATAGTTTTGCTGCGAGATACTCTTTGTCGGATGTCAGCGACGTGATGATGGCTTGTACGGACACGTGGAGAGCTTTACCACGCGATACGAGCGAGATGGAGAAAATCAGCGCTCAACGAGAGCATTACGGGCTCTATTGTGAGTCTACGAGCCGCAGGAACGTGGGTACATCGCCCGTAGCCTTCATTATTCATCCACGAAGCGGGGTGGGTGGGGGGGGGCTTAACACGATCGACCCTGTATTGAATATTTTAATTGGTTAATATCTTATACACGTTGCACCAATCAGTTTCATTCTCATCCGAGCTCTGCAATTTGGGTAAACCTGAAGCACATACATCAATAAAACACGCTTCTGCTTAGAAGTGGCCTTAGGCCAAAGACTCCCGTCGTCCTATTGCAAGCTGTCGACAAACAACTAGTAGCTAACTGGGTTCGTTACACCTGGTAGTACTTAGTAGTCCTGCCAATGACCAGGTTCGGCATAGGTGATATCTACATACAGACGTCGCCCGAGGTGCTCGTTCCGATCGACGACGAGGTGTTCCTAAACGAGACTCACGTCATGTATCATGACCCGCGTGCTGAGACGTTGGGCTACCATCGATTCTGAGTTTCATGTGCTCTGCATGTCGCGATACCACTGGCTTCTTGTTGGACATTGGCACCACCAGCAGACGCAGCTCATGGCTGACGCAATCCCATCCACCGGTATCGCTCGCTTTGCTAGTCAGTATGTTGCCGTCTTCACGAGCTCCAAAATCTATGGGCGTATGAAGAAAAAAAAAACACTCCACTCAAGAAACACAAAGCAATAGATTTGACCTCGAAACTTCTGAGACTGCAAATGGGGTAGTACAGCGTCAGATTATACCCCTTACGCGGGACAGATTTTCTCACTAGTCGCTCCGACATGCCTATTCTGATGAGCTTGATATAACCCTAGCATCTTCAACGAGTTCAACGAGACAAAGCGCAGATTGTGATGAACATCGTTTACAACGCTGTCAGTTCCTTTTACTTGGACAGCAAGAGCCGTAATGATGGAGAATTGACACGCACAGGTATACAGAATTAATATAAGCTCATATCTTTGCAGTAGCCACTACACCCTTCACTCTTATTAGTCTGACCCTGACTATTTATAAAGATAAGGTCAGAGCACAATTTTTCGGGATTTCAATTGCCCGTTTTGTCCGATCCAATTTCAAATCGTGCATACAATAATAATGAGCCCGGCGGGATCTATCTAAAACCGGTCGTTTTGATAGGTATTGGTGAGATTTGTGAAGCTGCTCACGTTTGTGATGTCACTAAAACGCGAAGGCATGACATATTTCGAAGCACGACTAATTAGCGTGAAGGGTGTGATCAATCAAAAATATCAAACGCGCAGCACACGCACGCATTTCGACATTTGCTGTGTGTCGGTTTGTTGTGTTCATCGAGTCAATCAAACTGCGAATAAACTCTTGAAGGCTGGAGGAATAGCTTAAAAACGCATGTGTCCGCTCCGCCTGAAATTAGGCCTAAGGAGAAACTACCTCTAATTTGTTTAGGACCAGGGCAACAGTTCTTATACCTCAAATACACATCTCTGCCTAATTGGCTAATAATATGCCCGGATCTCCACGTATTTTTTAAATTGGATGACAACAGTGTATCAGCACACAGATCTGATCCAACTACCCATGTAAAGAAATCTATCTAGCTACGAAATGGTGAGCAAGGTTGATTGTCAAGTCGACTACTCTAACTCGCTCGCGATGCTGAGACCCCCCCCGACGACTGAAATCGTGCCATGCTCCAGCAAGAAGATGGACTGGAGACGTAAGAATGGCCACGTCTTCACTTTCCACTTTTATGAACGCTTGGAAAGAAACACTGGTTGTGCTACGTGCCTATACAAGTTCGAATTCTACTCTCGCGAGAATTTGGAGAAGTTCTTTTGTGTCCTGTTACGATGTATACATGATTAATTATGAGGGTAGGAACGTGTCATTGGTAACGAAGCTGTTGGAGTTTTGCGTGTCACTGCCTATGACGTGTACATCCACACAAGTAGTAAGTATGATAATGGTTTTTTATTTTATTTTTCCGGTAACCGTTATTAGCAACAACACAATTAAAATTGCGATTTATAAAGCACGACAAGTCGTTAAAGCGAAATACTGTCATTGGTAAGACGTTGAAGTGAATCGTAAGATTGTTTGTCACTTCACCATTGGAGACAGACACCATGGATCCGAAAGTGGGCGGATACAGCGCGACCTGGTGCTGCCCTCGGACAAGCACACTCGCGAGCGACCGACGCTTGCTGACATTACTAAACCCAAGATTCAAGGATCGCATCAAGCGACTGGTGAAGGACACTGACGGACCCCCC